ATAGTATATACTTGGGCCCTACAGTAGTTATACGAGAATCCCTTAGACGCTAAGTATATTCCATATAACTACATGGACCTTCTGGCCTAAGGCTTGAGAGCATCCATCATGTGGGGCCATGCAGGATTTTAGCATCAAGCGTGAACTTTGAGGTTCCCTTTTGGACTTCTTTTTGATACTTGGTGTCATGCTCTAAACCCTAAACCCCAAGCCCTAAACCCAAAATCCTCAACCCTAAGCCCCTGGCCTCAACCCCAAACCCTGAAGCAAGCTCTAGGTTGGGGTCGAGATGCTGGGCACGGTTTGCAGTGATTTATGTGGAGGTTTCCCCAAGTCTGGCATAGGTTCCATGACTCGGGGCTATAGTATTGTAGGATCTACCACCCCAAGCCCTAAATCCTAAACCCCATGGGATTTTGTTGTCTATCTTGAAATTCCCTTTTCTATGGAAATTATTATGTAGGAACGTAAAAGCATTTCCTCTCTCGCAACCCATGCAAAACGATTCAACATGACGTGCGGAAACTGATATCTGGGTTCAGGATTTACAGGGTTTGGGGTTTAGGGTGTCTCCGAAGCCACTATTGCAGTCATGCACTGACATGCACTCACGGCAGGACGGCCCTTGCCCTAAGAAACCCCATGAAACCATACAAACTGCCGATCTCGACCGAATATCCCATATCACCGACCCTAGAGTCTATGCTGTGTAGGTTGCGGCGTTTAGGGTATATATCCTCGGGCTCCACGATGAGAACCCCATATAGCTCACGCCTTAAACCCTAAGGGTCTATAGGGTTCAGGGTTCGTGTTTCAGGGTTAGTTCGTAGGGCTGAGGGTTGGGGTTTAGAGCATGAAGTTCAAGGATTCACGGATCAGCACTTCGAGCTTGCGTGAAAGCTGGACCCCGGGGGGTCACCCTAAACTCGAAACCCATAATCCTAAACCCTATACCCCATAAACCCTATCAACCCTAAGCATCCAAGCAGATGCCCCGGCTCCTCCACAAGGTAAAGTTTGAGAAGTATGAAGACGAGCTAACGCTGCTTCAAGAGAGACTCTGCTCAAAGGGTTTGGGGCTTGCATTCAGGGTTCAGCATGCAAGTCTGAGGGCTCAGGGATTGAGTAGTAGCGTAGAACCTGGCTGCACCACCCAAACTTTCAAAAACCTTTCAAAAATCACCTCCCGCTCCCCACACTAGGAATTCCGAAAGAGTGCATCCCCGCATCAACTCTGTACCCGAATCCCTTCTTAAACCCTAAACCCCAAAGACTAAACCTGGCTTCAAGTCTTTTATCTCATCTCGAAAAGCCTTGAAACCCAATGCCAGATCCTTTCCAGCACTCACCTCGGCCGGAACAATGCCCTGATCCATGAAGCACCTTTTGGTTTCCCCAAGGATCCCAGTAGAATAATGTGGCTCATATTTTCAGGCTTTAGGACCCAAGGTAGGTATTATTTGCATTCACCCTAAACCCTAGACCCCTAAACCCGAAACCCTAGTTCTTTTACTTGTTGTTAATCCCAAACCCTAGTTCTGTTACTTTTGGTCCTAAACCCTAGTTCTGTTACTGTTGGTTGACCCTAAACCCTAGTTCTGTTACCTTTGGTCGACCTGAGGAAGCTCTCAGAGGTGGTAGCAGCCAAAATGGAGGAGATAGCTGGAGAGAACAATGCCTTCGATCCTCAATGGCAGTGAGATCTGATTGTTTTAAAATTTAGAGGCTTAGAGTTTAGGAGTTGGGTACTAAACATTTAGGGGTTTAGAGTTTAGGAGTTGGGTACTGTAGGTGTGTAGATGAGTATCGATATTCTAATCCCTTGTAGAACGGCCTCATGGGGCTACCTCCGATCGACCTCAAGATGGTAGAGGTAATTTTCAAACTTCTGCATTACTGTCTCCATTCATCGGGGTTCAGGGGGATTTCGGGGTCATTGTTTAGGGTCCACGGACTACTACTGTTTCGGGATTGCGGCTCAGGAAGGACCCAGGGGAATAGGTAATTAGATCAGCCATGGTTCCACTTGGGTTGCTACGTGGTTCGAAGGGGTAAATAGTCACGTTTTTTTGGCAGTGTCAAACTCTCACGGATCTTTAATAGTCTCTGGCCCAGGGTCGCTCCAGGGATACGTGGTGCAGCGCAAATGGTATGGCGATCGCAGTAGGTCCCCCTGTTACCAGCACTCCGGTAACTGACTGTTGCCTTGCCGAATGGAGACCTACACTCTGCTGAGGTCTTGCAGGTCCTCCTCTGCCCCATGCAGTGTGGCCGGGTTTCTTTCTCTCGGGACTGTCAATTGGCTAGAAGTTTGCCCCTCTGCCCCTGTGCTATGTGTGTGTGGAGGGGGGGGTGGAGTGCTATCTCAGAATCCCAAAGCTGTCAGCATTATTTCTTGTTGAAAAACATTACTGATAAACATGATACTAGAAACAATAATAGTAACAAGAACACAAAGAAACCAATACCATTACCCGTATTCTTGTCTCTTGAGCAAGGACTTGTTGGTGTGTTAGGTCTAGACAGAGGAAATGCATTCCCCAAAGCTGATATGGAAGCCCAGAAAGGCCTTGCAAAGACTACTGTCCGACGGAGCCGTATCAGTGTCATGCTTTGTTTTGGGGTAGGTTGCCAAGCTATCCGAATCCATCCCAAGGTTTTGGTGGCACCAAGCTTAATTTTCAAGTTTATGGTTTAGGGTTTATGGAGAAATGGGGGTGGAAAGTAGTCTCGCCATGAAGTCAGCTCCAAGAGGTTTCCTTCATTGAAGCAACATACCTCAAACCCAAAACCGCCCAATGCATAACCCTAAACCCAAATCCTGACACGAAACTCGAAACCGGGAGCCCCAAACAAATCAAACAACAAAGACACCGATTTTCTGGTTGTGCAGCTGCCTTGTACCAGGTTCCCAGGCTTCCCCGACATGGCTTAGTATAGAGTTATGTAGGGATTTATCCAGCAGGAAGACGCCTTGGAATATGTTTCCAACTGAGCTTCTCCGAAATTGCTCTTTTTTGTGGCTGCTCTGTACTGAGAAGCTTTACACTTGGCATTACAAGATCCGGAACGCGTACATGAAGAAATATTTGGGCCCCAACATATCATAAGCAGAAAGCTCCGAACAGAACTGCAGAATTCTAGGGATTCCAAGTCTACAAATGATACCAATTGCAGGCCCGAAAGTGAAAAACGTCATGATCCCTCGTGAAAGCTCTGGCCATGTAAGGAAGATGATGATATTCCCTTGCCAGCCTGTCCTGCAGCCGCTCGGCAGGTTATGGGGCTTGGGGTTCAGGGCTTGCTGACGGCTATGCTAAACGAACATGCAAGCCCAAAAAGGGCCCCTAAACCCTAAACCCTAAACAGCCTGTCTTTTAAAAGGGGGCCATCTCTGCTTCTGGTTTGGGGAAGGCAAACCACAGGTAATCCCCATCATCCCAATCCAGAATCCCTATGTAGCTCGTCTTTGGCTTACGGGTTTGGGCTTTAGGGGAGTTTCTGAAAATATTCCCTGCAGAATTCCGTATAACTGATAGGTGGGTCTCTTACAATCGCCGTGTAGCCCCCCATGTATTCCTACAGTCGCCAAACGCCAAAGGCCTGTTGTTATGAGAATCTCGCGTGGTGTTTTCCATACTCTGGATACTGCCCCCTACTCAGCAACGGTCAGATAAAAAAGGCATTATAATTTGCGTACAGCCCTTGGCATTATCCTTACTCGTAGATTGATACTGTGTGTGTGAGTACCAGTCTATATTCAAGACATTTGAAGGACCTTTTCAGCTGCCCGATGGCAGATGCCGAACTCCCTGAACCAAATGGAGCCAGTTTAGCATTCCAGGTGTCTAGCAGGTCCGGACATCAGCTGCTCGTATGTATCCACCCTATGTAATTACCTTATCCAGCCCCTTAGAAGGACCTAGGGTTTCCATTTCAATTTCCTCTCTTCAACTTTGATTACTTCTCCAATGTATGTGGCAAGGCATGATTGCTACAGCTTCAGCTGAATGTCAGATTCCTCCATGTCTCGAGTCGGGGTCTTACGCCTAAACAAATATGGGGTTTCCCAAAAAAGAGGAGGACCATTATGGGGGGTCCCCATAATAAGGATTATAGTATTTTGGGGTCTACATAGGCACCCCCTATTTTGGGAAATTATCATATATTGAATATCCCCACTGCTGTTAAAGCAGGATCTACAAGGGAAATAGCCCTCGACCCTCGGGACTGTAGATGCAACGCAAGGCAATAAAGGCCTTAACATCACTAAGCCACCACCATTTACTGCGTTTTTAAAGTTCCAGAGCCTTATAGTTTCTAGCCGTCCGGAATTCTTTTCTTCAATCTCGTCACGCATGTTAAGATGCTCGTTGCAAAGACAACACCAGTCCTTCAGAACACCGAAGAACTACCCCCCTGCCCCCGCCTCTAAACGACAAACATTCCCTTCATGGAAAAAGATATCAGTGGAACTGGTGACCATCTTGCGGTTGGGAGCAAGACGAGGGGAGTGGCTACTTTAACTCCCTAACTGTCATGTGGGAATTGTATTGGGTCATCTTGGGTTCTATAGATGTCTCACCCCAATGATAATGCAGCACCAAAGGGAAAATCAATCAAACATGTCCAAGCCGGATTTACAAATGGGTCTGCAGGGGGTTATGAAGCATTGTAATCCCATTTTCCCCTAAGCACACTAAATCCTGAACCCTCCACACTAAATCCTAAACTCTGCACTCCAAATCCTTTAAACCCTGAGCCCTAGACACTAGTGCAAATCCCCAAACCCTAAACCCTACTCCTTAAGCCTAGACCGTACACCCTAAACCCGAAATCCTGCACCCGAAACCTTACTTAGAGGTCCATTGTACTTATAACCTACGTAGTAACTGTAGGTATAGCCCAATTATATCTAGGGTAACTGTAGTTATGGGACCTATATTTAGGTTATAACTGCCTAAACCCTAAACCCTAAACCCAAGCAGAGGGAGTCTCAGGACTTCATGGTCACGGCTGGTGACTTCCTGACCTACGAAGAAGGCGGCCCCAACATGCAAGAGGCAGATTGGGCGTAGGGGTTTGGGTTATATAGGATTAAGAGTCTGGGGGTCTAGGATACCTAAACCCCCAAAAGTATGTAAAATAATAGCCCTAAACCCATAATAATAGCCATTAAGGCCATTATTTTACATACTTTTGGCGTCCAGGTAGGGTCTATAGGGTTGAGGGTGTTGGGTTTGGGGCGAGGTCGGAAGGATGCTGTTTGGGCTCTTGCAGGAGCATCTAGGGCTTCGGGGCTTTTGTATCTTGAGTTTAGGGCTAGGGTTTCCGAGTAAGCACGGAGGGTTTAGGATTTGGAGCTTAGGGTCGTTCTGAGGTTTTCACATACAGGATTTCTGCCTAAAGCCCTTCAGGGCAGAAGATCTCCAACATCCCAACGTACTCTAAGCAACATGCCGGGATTCTGGGGCTTAAGGTATGGATATGAACCCAGGACTCTAGGCCATAAACCGTGTATATCCAACCTTTCTATAACCCGGTATATCCCTTTGCAGGAACCCAGATTGGGCCTGAAGGATGGTAGGGATTTAGGGTTTAGGGTTTAGGGTTTAGGGACATGAAGCAGTTCATTGAGGGCCCTGCGGAGGCACAATGAAGCATGTTGGCCTGGTGGCCTCCGCGCCCTCGTCCTGAAGCCCCGATTCCCTGCAATCCTAAAGGGGTTTAGGGGTTTAGTCTCTAGGGGTTTAAGGTGTAGGAGCATATAACTCTGAAACCCCCAACCCAAACCCTTCAACCCTAAAGCCCTCAAGACTCAGGGGTTGGGATCTAAAACCCCCTTTGCCCTTATGTACGACTTGTGTCCTTAAGCTTAAGCCCTAAACCTTGGGTCCACGCCCCCCCCTCCCCCAGTAACAGTCTGTAGCAGAGTCAACATTGGATGGGTATATCAGCTTAGATTAAAGTCAGTCTCTAACTGTCACTGGGTGGGTTCTCAGCCTACACCCTAAACCCTACTAAGTCCTAATTCAGAAGCCCTAAACCCCAAACCGTTGGTGGGGTAGTGCCTAACCGAAATTCCACCCTTCAACCTGCAGATCGCCACCTACGTGAGCGACTTCGCCAAACATGATGAAGCTATGCAGCTGCGAATGCATTGACGCCAAGCTGATGACGCAGTGGGGGTTAGGGTTTAGGGTTTACAGTCTAGGCTTCAGGGTCTGTACACGGATTGCCTCAAACTTTGAACGTGCAAATCCTGCTGGGTCTCAGAATATGCCATCAGATTCGAGCTTGGGGGCAGCAGAGGGATCATTTTGAGAGTAAGGGCTTCAAAAGGTTTACGGATGATTGTGGTTTGGTTGGCGACGAAAATTTTTGGTCTGCTTGTTAGGGGCTGTAACAGCAGCGGACTCATGTAGAGACTACAGGGACTGCCAGTCGAGCCATAGCCTGGCAGCGGGTTACACGAGTGGTGCTCCGTCATGAGCTGGGCTATGAGGAAGTCATAACTGGGATAAGTGTGTTCATGAGTCATCATGAGTCCCAGAATTCATAGTCACCCCAACGATTTATGGATATGTCTGTGAGCTCTACTGTACAAGTAGCAGGCTTCTTCTGATATAGTTTTCCTGCGCCCTAAGCCCGAATCCCTAAACCTCTAAACCCTAAATCCTAAACTCAAAAAAACGCATCTTTTTTGCGGCACAAAGTTATTTGTTTGCTCGCAAGTACGACCTTGTGCGAGAACACTTTTGCGCAGTGGGTTCATATGAGCTATAGTCTAAACTCCTTAAAGGGGGTTATAAAGGGGATTATATAGGGGACTACCATAGGGGTTACAAAGGGGGATATTCGGAGTTTTGACTACAGTTCATATGGGGCTTTCTATCAATTAGAGCTTCCTTCCTGGGAGTCCCTCCCTTAACAGTCCTGATACATGGAGATCATGGAGGTCTAAATTCTTGTCCCCCCCTATCTGTGGAAATTCCCAAAATCTTACATCGGGCCCCAAACCCCAAGCCCTAAAACCCAAAAATCGCTGCAAAAAAGAAGTTCCAAAATCTTACATTGGGCCCCTATATTGCTCCCAAGACCCTAAACCCCTAAACCCCTATAACCCTAAGCGATAAACTCAAAGCCGAAAGCCAAGAGTTATGTGGGGAAGCCTGAGTGCACGCATGCTTGGGGCTCCAGGGATGCCCAGGGTGACATGCTTTAGCGGGGCTTAGGGTTTCGGGATTAGGGTTTAGGGATTAGTGTTTAGGGTTTAGGGATTAGGGCTTCAGGAGTTTAATAGTCTGAGGGTTTTAGGGTTTAAAGAGTTGAGGGGTTTAGGGGTTAAGGGTTTAGGGTTAAAGAGTTTCAGGGCTTAGGGTTTAGCGCTGAATTCGGGGAGTTTTAGCGCGACTCTTACGGATTAGGGATCTCCTTGATTTCCTAGATTTTGATTGTTCTTAAAGAGCTTTTATGGAATAATTGCAGAAACAGATTCCACGGCCCTAATTCGGAATAGTCCCAACTAAGGCCCTAATCTGGAATAGTCCCTAATTTGGAAAAGACTCCAATAAGGCCCTAATTTGAACTAGTCCCTAAGTAGGCCCCAATCTGAAATAATCCCCAAATAGGCCCTACTTTTAAGTACTCCTTACTAAGGCCCTGAGGCCCTAATTTTGAAACAGTCCCTAATAAAGCCCTATTTTCATTTGATCGAATTGTAGACTGATATACCCTCCCTAATGTTTGGGTCGTAAGACAAATAACCACCTCCCCAATATTAGCTACGGTTCGGAGTATTTGCATTAGGGACGGGAGCCCTTTCATCTTGGGGAAGTCATCATGTTCTATCACTTATCACCTGATAAGCAAGAGGGGGGAGGGGAGGGGAGGGGAGGGGAGGGGAGGGGAGAGTAGTGGTCAAAAGTATGCTCACGCTTGCTACTCCCTGACCCGCCCTACACACTTACCTACTTCAGCCGGAAACTCTAAACCCTAAGTCCTCAACGTACACCGATTTTGTGGCCCAGACTCCTATGGGCTAATCTTCGACTATGAGACCCTTGGATGTTTTTGCCTCTTGCTTTGCGTCACCTTAGATGTAAGCTTTGTGGTTTACTAACCCTAAGGGTCCAAGTACCTAATAATCATCTACTTACCCAAAACCTATACAAAATCATTATTACCCAAATCCCAAGTACCTAATTATTGGGTACATGGACCCTTAGGGTGGTTTACTAAGGTAGGAACCGGATTTGTCTTTCGGGTTTCGGGGAGGTCACTGTGGTTTACTAAGGTAGGAACCGGATTTGTCTTTCGGGTTTCGGGGAGGTCACTGTGACTTAGCAAGTCAAAGTAAGGGAATTCCTTGACCGGTTTAGGGTTTAGGGTTTAGGTGCTTATTTAATTTCCCTGACCCTACAGGAAAGGTTTGATGTTTGGATGATTTTGGGCTTAGATTCTTGAGTTCAAGGCTTGTGGTTTGGGGTTTAATCCCTTGTAGCGTCGGGCCTTTGAATCGCTCGCAGTTTAGGCGTAATTGTTGGCCAAGTTCGCAGTTTGTATGGTTGTGCTGATTTGTGCGAAGGGCTGCGACCCGAAAGAGTTTTTCGAAAGTGGGCCATGCGGATTTCAATGTCACAAGTTTCGTAGCAGAGATACCGAGCCCTGAATCCCTGCATGGGCCTATTGGTGTTAATTCGAAATCACGACCCAAACTTGTGCGGGAGGGGGTAACACCCCCTCTCATGTAGGGACGCTATTTTGTTTCGGGGTGTCTAGTACACTAATCGGCCTCCAGCATTCGGCGATAGGTGATAGAACATGGCGCCATATCCGTATGTTGAGATGGTAGTTCGTGAGCAACGCCTAAATAGACTGCTTGATAGCTCCTTGTGTAATCCGTATACATACCCAGGGTCCCTGAGCGCATCACGATTTTGAGCACACCCAAACAAGGGGCAGGCGCGTAAAACAATGGTTTCAGCAATTGGCAAATTCTTCATTTATTCAGCTTCCCCCAAACAAGACTCACGAGATGACTGTTTGAATTAAAAATACCAACACCATACAAAATCCCCTGTAATCATACACTTAATTACTGAGAAACCAGAAGACATTAGGGGGAATGTCTGCTAATCCCTTCTTACTGACGTTAATATGTTTCCACCCCTGCAAATTCATAGATTGGAGAGCGATTTTTTCAGGAGCAAGGGCGGGGTTTTCATAATAGTTGAAGAATTCAGGAATTCAGGGCTTCGAGTTTACAGGTTCAGGGTTGGGGTCAATTCCATTGCGCCACGCAAGACGTCGGCACTGCTGAGATTTCCTGCTTCAAGTCCTTAGGCCCTGTATGTTCTATAGTCTGAACTCCTTGACGGGGTATATGTAGGGGAGCATTGTAGCAATTATGAAGGGGTGCTCGGTGTTTAAACTACAGCTCATATAGACCTGAACTCTAGACTCCAATTCCTAAACTGAACCGGAAGTTTCAGACCCCAACGAAACCGCTCTAGACCCTGAGCCCCGGACCTAAGATCCTGAAAGCAAGGCAACTAGGAAACCCTAATCCCCCACCCTGGGATCAGGAACACCTTCGACACCTCAACGAACGAGACCTTCAGCAATCGTACGAAAGGGTCCAAGGCAAGTGGGTAGGACTCAGAGTCTAGGCCTAGGTCCTAAGTTGTATGGGGTTTCCCAAAATTAGGGTTTAGGGTTTAGGGTTAAGAGATTAAAGTTTAGGGTTTAGAGTTCGGGGTTTAGGGTTTAGGGCATGGCAAAATTAGGTGTACCATTTTGGCAGCCCCTGCAGAGAGGACTACAGTATATTGGGGTATAGGGAGCATTTTGACTGATTCCGGTGTACCTAAACCCTAAACCCTAAACCCTAAACCCAGGGCTTGGGAGTACGGACCAGGGTTTGGGTTTCAAGTGTTAGTAGTCGGGCCAGGGCTTACCCAAGGGCTCCAATGTAGTTCCTTTTTGGGTTTGTTATGGTTTTTGGGTAAGGGATTCTAATATACTACCCAAAAAGGAACTACATAGGAGGGTCTGGGTAGGGTCCTTGGCATTGAGATGGAATTCATGCTCGAAAGCTTGAAACCGCCTAGCAAAGTCCTCCTGTCGTTGAAGAAGGGGTCCGGGCTTCCATGTTTGCTCAAGGGAGTGCCAAGGGTAATGGATGAAGGCTTTACCCGAAGGCTCCTGGGACTATGGGGGCTTTGTGGGGGCAGGTTTGGGCTTTGGGGGATAAGGTTTGGGATCCCACCCTAGTACCACCTCCCCTATACTGTCCCTTAATTGGCCCCAATTAGCCTTAATCAACACAATTCCTGGCAACCCTAATTAAGGGGAACCATGAATTCAGGGTTCTTTGGCATTGGGTTCCCCCTAAATCCGTCGCAACCGCTACGAGGTCCAGGTATCCCCAAACCCATTGGGTCCATGTAGCTGTATAGTATATGTTGTGCCCTGCAGTAGTTATATGGGAACCCCTTGGAACCCTACGTATACGTATACTATATATCCTATATATCTACATTGGGTCCTCTGGGAAAGGAGCCTGCTTCAGGAAACTCTCAGGTAGGCTAGGGCGGGTAGAATCAGAATCAACCCCTGAGGTTCCAAATGGCAAAACTCTATTTCTTAGGTACCCAAAACCATTAGGATTGAATTTTGTGGGGCCTAAAGCCTTGCTATGGAGCTTCGTGCACCCGAAAACATTCAGATTATAGCATTTCGTGCCTAAGGCCCCCATCAGTGTTGTACTTGGACCTTCAGGGAGACCCCACCTTAAACCATGGACCATGGAGCCCTTTTGGGGGAGGGTAGGTTTTGGGGTGCTTTAATGTTGAATTTGGGGTTGGAGTCGAGGGTCTTATTCAGAAATCCTCAACATGTGCACCGAAAGCCTGTCTCTGTCCTGCGACTACAGATGTTAGCGGCGTAAGTGTAACCAACGCCACCATACCCAGAACCTCCTATGTAGCTGCTTTGTGGGCGGGAAAACCATGACAACCCCTCTAAACCCTAGACCCTAAATCCTAAAGCCTAAACCTAGACCCTCCTCCTACCCTCTATTAGGGCCTAAGTACCCACTATTAGGGACCATATATCCCCAATTAAGGGTACAAGGAAGGGCCTAAAACCTTAAAAATCGAACTACACAGAAGCCCTCGGCCATGGTCGCAGAGCACCAGCGTTTGGAGCCTTAGCCCTGCTATGATCTGTATGTAGTGGGTTTCCCAAAATTATGGGTACCCTTGGTTACTATAATGGAGAATCAAATGGAAAAGAAAATGGAAAATGAAATGGAAACTGTGATTATATAGGGGGTTTTATAGGGTTTAGGGTTTCCCAAAATTAGGGGGTACCTTTTTGGGGTCCCATAAAAAGGATTATAGTATTTTGCGGCCTATACTGGGTTTTCCCTACTTCGGGAAACCACCAAAATGGCCCCTAGTCTTGGGGTCCTGAACTTGTATCTACCCATCATACCTTCAAAATCCCACAAACTAAGTAAGGGCCCGTTGTAATGAACCATCACACACTCTGGCCGACAGTAGAGGCCCATGCTTCGGACTGTAGCGAACTTGTAAAGACCGGAGATCCTGGAGTTGACCCTGGAGCTTGCCGACCTTGGGCTCAAGACTAAGCCTTCCAAGACAATGCATACCTGGACCCTGGATGTCTTTCCTTTTTTGGGGGTAATGCCTCATAAATTTGTGGGGCATACCCCTAAAAAGTAGGACATCCAGGGCCCAGGTAATAGTTACGCGAAGAAAATTGGAACTCGAAGTGGATGGGTGCAGGAACATGTCTGGGGGTGTTTGGCAGGTCTTGGCTAAACTTTGGAAGATCCAGAAGCAAGCCCAGACCCTCACCTGAAATGCAAGAACCCTGGACCTGGAGTCTAGGTCAAGAGGGTACTGGAGCTGAGCTGGAAGCACACTCTCAACACAGCAGTGAAGGCCGGGGGCAGCGGCGGCAGAGTTCATAAGGTTGGCTGCTCAGCGTCTAGAGTCGAGATTTTTGCAAGTTTAGGGTTTGGTTGTAGTTTGGCGTTGGCAGGAACCATTTCCGCTAAGTCTACATGAAAATAAATGCCAGCACCTCTGGCCCCGAAATCGATGCTGACTGTAATAGTTCCAGAGTAAGAAAAGCAAGGCCTACGACGCTAGCAGTTCTTGTGCCGGGGCGGCGGCGGTGGTGGCGGACGCGGTGGTGGCATCAGCAGTAGTAGTAGTAGTAGTAGTAGTAGCAGCAGCAGCAGCAGTAGCAGCAGTAGCAGCAGCACCAGTAATACTAGCATAAGTAGGAGTAGCGGTAGCAAGAGGAGGAGGGCAGTATACACGGATGCACCGCCCGCACCCTTTAAGGGTTTGGTCTTCACCTTTAGGGTCTGGCCTTTTGAATGTACTGTTTGAGGTTTAATGCCTTGGGTTGCGGGGGTGCTTTCGTTTGTTGAAGGGTAGAGGGTTAGTGTTTTAGGCTTTAGGTTTGTGTTTGGGGGGTTATGGTTGGGTGTGCCATTTTGGGGCAAGGCATTTGGGTTGGGTTCAGGTTAGGTTTTGTGTTTATTATCCGGGGCTTTATCAGCCATTATCAGTCTTTCTTTGAGCTTAGGGTTGAGGGGTTTTGAGGGCTGGGCTTGAGTATTGCCGCCCGCCATTGCGCCGCTCATTATTGTTTTACATTGTTCTTACCGTCATTATGACAATTAATGACATGCTATTACTGTTCATGGTGGTGGTGGTGGTGGTGGTGGTGGTGGTGGTGGTGGTGGTGGTGGTGGTAGTGGTGGTGGGGGCGGCGGCGGCGGCGGCGGCGGCGGGGGTGGTGGGGGTGGTGGTGGCGGCAGGGGTGGTGGCAGGGGTGGCGGGGGCGCCGGAGGCGGGGGTGGTGGTGGCGGTGAAGCAGCAGTGTGGTGGTCGTAGCAGCAGCAGTAGCAGGAGCAGCGGCAGCAGTAGCAGCAGTATCAGTAGCAGTAGCAGCAGTAGCAGCAGCAGCATGGGTTTCGCTAGAGATCCAATACAACCAATATCTACATTGGGCCCTAAAGTCTGTGAACATTACCTACATTGGGCTACTTGGATGCCTAGGGTTTGGGCTAAGTGTATGATTACTACGTATTCCGACCTTCAGACCATGTTACAACCGACCGTTAGCAGAACAGGGTCTGAGGTCCATGGGGAGATCCCATACACTGAGCCCTAAACCCTCAATCCTAGACCCTTCACCCTAAACTCTTTACCGAAAACCCTAAGTCCTAAACCCAATAAACCCTAAAGTCTAAATAAACTCCTAACCCCTAAACCCTGAATAGTGGTTTTCATCTTATTCTTCCATCATCCTCATATAACCCCAATATGACCCAATATTCAGGAAACAAAAAAACCCATATTCCGTATATGTCCCCTGTAATCCCTTTGAAGGTACCCCTAATTGGGGACCTAAACCCTGGACCAGGAAGACCCCATCGCCTGTTCCTCCACCAATGGCCGCACCAATGGGCACGGACAGGCCGAAAGTGAACAAGGCACCTGGGACTTTAGGGTTTCGGGATTACGGGTACCTGGTTGAGGAATATCCCCTGGCCCCTGGACCTAAACCTAGGACTCCAAATTGCCAAAGGTTAACACCTTTTATAGACTCTAGGGCGCAAGGTAGTACTTACTCACAAAGAAGGGAGGCATCAGCGTAAACTGAAACCCTAAGCCCTAAGCCCAAAGCCCTGAACGCGTCCCTTTGCAAAGGTGCCACAAGAAACTGGGTTGTTGTCGAGGATCTTGAAGTAAGTCACAATAATATAGGTATATCGTAAAAGATAAGGTTTCCTGATAATAGTACATTAAGTTCCTTCTGTCCCTACATTCCCCCAGTTTCCATTTCATGTTCAATTTTTTTCCATTGGCTTCTCCACTATAGGGGCACAATATAACCCTAAACCCTTATAGTCCCGAAACCCTATGTCATTCCGAAACAGCAACCCAGAAAAGTGCTGCCAGCCGAAGCCGAGGAGCCAAAGCTTCCTACGGCTGTTCCCACAGCCAGGCCTCCCGCAAGGCCTCCCGCACGGCTTCAAGAATACCATGGGTGGTTGTCAAAATTATGGTCCCTTTTGGGGTGCCCTAAATATTAGGTGCCGTATTATAATAGGGATCCAAAAGGGGCCATAATTTTGACAACCACCCACATGGAGAATATATCTACTACAGTCTAAACTCCTGAGAAAGGGATTATAGTGGATACTTTGGGACTTTGGCCGGTTTAGGCTGCAGGTTAGGGCTTAGGATGTAGGTCTGGGGCGCAGGGTTGAAGCGCAAAATCCTGTCAGAAGAGAATTCCAGTCCTCGAGCTGATTCTTCTTGAGCCTCAAGGTTAAGGAGACCCCAAGAAGCTGAAAATCCAAGTACAGAAGGGTTGCGATTTTTCTGTCCTCCTGTATCACACAAATTTTCATCATCATTAATGTTGGGTATATATGGTAGTTTCCCACAAATAGGCGGAGACCAATATAGACCCCAATATACTATAGTCCTTATTCAGATGGTACCCCTAATTTGGGAAAACCCCCAAACCCTAAACCCTATATACCCTCTACGTATACACCCCTATATACCCCTACATAACCTCTATACCCCCAAAATGGTAGCCCTAATTGAGGGAAACCCCGAACCCTAAACCCTACATACCTTTATACTTAAATACCCCTATATAACCCTATATATCCCCTGTAACCCCCTTCAAAGGGTACCCTTAATTTTCGGAAACCCCCCACGGTACAACCTGCCTGTAGCACCGCCGCTGGCTCCTAGCGCCGTTGCACCTCCCATGGCGCCTGCAGCAGTGGCTCGAAAGCGACCTTAGGCCGACTATGGCTTCAAGGAAGGGCTTACCCTAGGGCTCCAAATGGCCCAATGTAGGTACTATTTATAGACATTGGGGCAGAATGTAGGTATTATTTGTAGACATGGAGCCCCAGGGTTAGGGTCCCTAATCTCTAAATCCTAAATCCTAAACCCTCTAGGGTTTAGGGGTTAGGGTTCAAGAGTTGGGCATTTGGAGCACTTTTGCTGCTCAGGGTTTTTGATTTTGGTGTTCAGGGGTTTAGAGTCTTGAGGGCTAGGGGGTTCAGGGGTTAGAGTTTTGAGGGCTTTGAGGATTTCGGGCCTCAATGGAGCCTTTCCGGGTTTGGGGGCTTGAGGATCTAGAGCTTTTGAGTTTCAACAGGGCTTAGGGTCTCAAGGTTTTGGGGCTTTGGGGTTCAGGATGTTCAGTATGGACTTTTAACCTTCAACTTTTCTGACCCTAAACCCCTAAACCCTAAGTTTCTTTGCCATTCCACCATTCCCTACTCTCAACGCAAAACGCCGACTATACCAGTTTCCATGTTCTTTTCCATTCCCTAAGTAAGTGTATTTGGGGCCTATGTGAGCTATTCTATAACATAGGGTTTAGGATAGGGTTGAGGGTTTAGGGTCTTAACTACTTAAAGGGGGGTTATAGGGGATAGTATGGGGGGACTTCTATTTGGGTTATTCGGGGGGGATACTAGGAGTTTAGACACTGGCTCATATAACCCTTATGTGGCCGCAGCCCCCACATACAACCCTATATAATCCCTATACAGAAGTAATTTCCATTTTCTTTTCCATTCCTTCATTCCCTGCTTGCAACCATGACGGTCTCTCAACATGAGCTGTAGTCTAAACTCCTAGTATCCCCCTTAGTAAGCCCTATAGTAGTCCCCTATATATTCCCCCATATAATGCCCCTTTAAGGAGTTTAGACTATGACTCACATGGGCTCATACAGCCGGCTTTAGGCCCTCAACCATATGGGTGGTTGTCAAAATTATGGTCCCTTTTTGGGTACCCTAAATATTAGGTGCCTAATAGGGATCCAAGAAGGGACCATAATTTTGACAACCACCCATATCCATACCACAAAGCGCGAGGCGAAGGTCCGTTCCCCTTCCCGGGACTCTAGGTCTATGAATAACCCTAAGGATCCAAGTAGCCCAATGTAGGTAATAATTACAGACTTTAGGGCCCAATGGAAGTATTATCTGTATACTTGGATCCCTGGGGTAATGTCTACATTGGGGTCGAAAGTCCATAAATGGTGCGTACTTGCGGCTAGCTCGAGCCCTTCGGGATTCCCTTCCGTACAGGCGGCATGAACAAGGGCTGCACTGTAGATGCCAATTTTCCTGTAACAATTATTGTAAGGACTCAAAAGCATGACCCTCTAAGTTTCGGCAAGACATGTAACTGTGCATGTCTTCCTGGCTCCCTAAGGTTCCAAGTACCCAATAATCATATACTTACCCAAACCCTGTACTATAATTGCTATTACCTGAATCTCAGTACCTGATTATTGGGTACATGGACCCTAAACCATAAACCCTAAACTCTAAACCCTAAACCCTAAACCCTAAACTCTAAACCCTAAACCCTAAACCCAAAACTAAACATTTAAACAACCACCTTGGTTGGCCTTTGGAGCCCTTTGAGACAATATTCCTTAACCCCACGGTTTAGGGTTTAGGGTTTAGGGCCAATCAGCCATTGTCAAGTTTGACCCAGAAGACCGGGATCCGTTGGAGGTTTGGCATTTAGAAGTTGATTATTTATAGGATTTAGGGTTTTAGTGTCAGTTGATTACAGGGTTGAGGCCTTAGGATTAAGGGTTGGAAAGTGGTTCAAGGTTTCGGAAGAGGTCCATGAAAAGACGAATATGCTGAAAAGCAGGAAGGCTTGCACAATACAAAACCTCCCGAAAACTCCAGGATTCAGAGCGTCCCTTTTACACAATGGAAGATGTATTCGAAACTGCCACACTACTGAGGGTTTAGCCCCCAATTCCTACACGTTTATGGGTTATGCCTACTAAGCATGGGGCAACTCCTGCTAACCTCTAGGTACTTGGGGTTACAGATACAAAGCTACAACCCTCAACCAAATCTGGACCCCCTGCCAATGTCGATCTTCTTTGGGGTGTATTCCCTAAGGGTCCAAGTGCCTAAACATCATATACCTATCCAAAACCTGCACTATAATTACAATTACCCAAACCCTAAGTACCTAATTCTTGGGTACATGGACCCTCTGGGATTTTGGGCTTTAGAGAGATCGCTTGGGTCATCTAGGGAATGCCCTCCCAAGGTTAATTGCATGGGTTATGGGGCGTAGTGCGGGATCCTGCGACAAATTCGGGTGACTCCAAATTCGGCCCCAGCTGGCCAGAACTATATAGGCTTCAAACTGTTAAGCACTCTCAGAGTCACCCATGAACAGGGTTTCAGGTTTCGTGTGAGGGCAGCTTAGGGGAAACTTCCACCTACGTCCTAATTGCCCTGGCCTGGGGGAACCCTTTCAGCCATCAGAAGCAGAAAGGATCTCTGCTGCAGTTGTGTGGGGCACCTACTTTACCAAAGAACATGCGGGAAGCAGTTCTAACCTGCAACAAGTAGTGCACCCAACTGCAAAGAAGCAACCACTGCGCACTGTGGCGCAGGTAGCCTGACTCAAGGATTCTTAGTGGGGAGTAAGGGAATGTTATATGTATATACATATACAAATACAAGGATGATATTCCTTTATTCTTCCCTGGCATACTGGCTCTTACTGGGAGTAAGAGAATACATTATATAGGTTTTAAGTGACCTCTGAACCCTAAACCCCTCAACCCTATATGCAAACCCTAAATCATATTCCTTTACTTCCTACTTAGCACCAGGAGGCTGATGCCCTTTGGCAGGACTTGGGGAGGTCCACCCACGGGTCCACCCGGAAGCCTAAGGGTTTAGGGTTTTAGGCTTT